CATCTAAGATTGCTGTTCCAACCATCCATCAATACATTTGCAGATGGAACGTTAAGAACGTCTAGCTTCTGTTGCTTGTCACAGACAAAATTTTGATACATAATTTCTTGTGATAGCTTGCAAACCTCTTGTATGAGCTTCTTACGAACAATAGTTACTTGTTGGAAAAATTATAACCAAATTAATGATGCAAAAACTTGTACCCGAATTCAGACAAATGGCTGACATTGCTTAAATGCTTTTCCATCCTCAGCAAATAGATACTGCTATTGTATACCCACTATTTGTTATTATTTACCTTTAATTTTCCTTCTATTTTTTACCAGAGAAGAGTACCTGACTCCCGAAGAGCGACGCTTAATCGATTGGCATTTAGCCAATTTGGAATTCGCCAATGCTACAGAGCTTAATCAGCTGTCTCTTCTCCACTGGGACCAAGACGACCAATTTGAGTTGACAGGAGAACACTGCGTGTTGCAGGCTGGCTACTCTCGTCTGCCTGACGCTTTGGTGTGCCCATCGCCGACAGCCATTTCGCCAGTAGCGTGTGGAAGCACTGGCCCGAGTGCCAGCGCTATAACATTCCATAATACGTCAGCCAATTCTACGAGTTCCACAGCGGGATCAGGCTCTGGGGCAACATCTACGTACGAGCAGACGAGTTCTGTCCAGCACCCGAACACCGGAGGGGTTGTCAAGAAGATCGAGCAAGTGGCTTCAGCCTCTTCCTCATTTTCCTCTTCAGCCACTAACTCTGTCGATTTCTCCCTTACTGGTGCTACTTCAGCGGGCCTTGACTCATCAACAGCCCTCACCAGAGGTGGATGTGGTCATGTTGAGCTAAAAACCTCTGCCAAGCTGATTGAATACGATGAACAAGGTGGGGGTATATGCTAAAAATATTTACATTTATCATGTTGGCAAAATAAATAACAGTATAGAAGTTGTTTGACCTAATTGAGGTGTGTTCTTTTAAGTGGATTTATTTAGACCTATTCACACTCCCCGCTGGTTCCCTTAGCCTCCCCTCTATACTGAGTGTTGATCCAAAACTGCTGTTTAGTCCTCAATCCTTATATTCCAGGTCCTATCAGAACTCGCCTCTCGCTCCGTAGGATCAACCTCATATCTGCTGGATTCACCAATAGCATGGAGACCTAACCTA